ACAAAACTAATCAAGTCCATCATCAGCCTAAACCATAATTTAACCACACATTCAACAATCTAGACTCCATGTCCGAAGGCCTATGCATGAAGTTTTTAATAATCTACAGAATATTATACAAGTAGATATAAGTATAACTACTCAGTTAAGAAAACCTAGACTATGTGGGCACCAAGAAATTATTGAAGAACTATGAATGTAACTTCTAGCTCCTTGGGGGCGAATCCAGATGAGCCTAGACCGGAATTATCATTGGGTTTTAACTTTTTTTGTGCTAAATCCCCATCTTCATTGTTCTCGAGCTTAGAGTGGATTAGGAATTTTTTTTGCACACCTTGTTTGTTTTCTCATTGGAAAGTGGTAAGAAGAATAAACAAAAAAAGGTTTAAAATGCCTCTCAACTATTTGAATTGGTACAAAACTATCATCCATCCACCTTTTGGCCCCCAAATACTCCCAATGTCATCTTCTTGGCTAAAAATACCCTTATTTATAATGACTGTAAATCATAAGGTGGATTTAAGGGCATTATAGGCCTTTCTCCATTAAAACAATTTGAAATGACTTAATATATGAGTTCATATGATTAACCTAATTTTAAATTTCACACTGAATTAAAAAATACAAAAAAATTAGTCATTTACTATCTTCTATCTACACTCACCTCCCCCCCCCCCCACAACTTCCTGTAACACCCCAATTTTTTTAAGCTAAGACCCGAATTATTTTGTAACACCTTGCAACTCTATTCCAAATCTGAATCATTCGCCGTAAGTATATGAGCTTGAATCGGGTGATGTTCTACTTGCTCATGTATTTTAAGGTCCTTTACCAAGTGTATCAAGGGTATCTAAAGTGATATAAGGTCATAAGGGACCTCAAACACCAAGTCAAGTTTAAAGCATTCATATCGGCTAAGTTCTCGTATGAGTTCATATAAAGGTCAACTTTAAACAATCATATCTCTTCGCATATAAAGTGTTAGGTGGCCCATGACTTATCAAATTAAAGGTCTATGATTCTTCTTTCTAACATCACCAAGTTTGCTTTATTTTGAGTTCAAAGTAAAATGTTATGATTGTTTTACTGGAACATATACAAGCTGGAAATGTAGCGAGGATACCTATTCATTTGGCGACTCATCGAATGGATTGGCGAATCGCCGAATTTGCTCGCTGAGATGTCCTGAAAACCATAAGTCTTTGTCTATTTTTGAGATCTAAAGCCCCATTCGATGAACCATCGAATATTTTTGCGAGGGGACCTCCATATCGCTGACTTGGTAGACGGGATTCATTTAAAGGTCATTTTCTTTGATTTTTATGGTCTTCTTACGTTCCCAAAAGGGTGTTTTTGACCTTTTATCCTCAGTTAACCTCCCTAAGTCCATCTTATAACCTAATATCATCATTATACATATAAAAAATCTCAAAATCTCTAATTCTCCTCCTTCCAAAAATTATGAACTCCAAGAAAGGGATTTCTCCAATTTCCCAAAATCTAAAGGCTCCAAGTTCAAGATTCTCTTCAAGATACCTAAGGTTTTCAATTCAAGACTCTTCTCCTTACTTCATTTTCCAAGATTGTATTCAAGTTTCTCAAAGAACATTGTTCTTCCAGGTATGTAAGACTACTCATAGCGATGGACTGAGTTCGTCCTCACGCCCTACATCTGAACTCTGTCAGTAAATGATTAATGTAGGGTTAGACCCTTAGTTTTGAGAATTCTGAGATGAGTTATATTATTGATTCTGAGTTCTAAATTCTTGAATATGAGTTGCTATATATTATGCATTGAGATCTTTGAGTTGTTGTTCATGTTTATATTTCCATATAAACCTCATTTACTGAGTTTCCATAGAGAATCTTTTGATCAATTTTTTTTTTCTTAAATTGATTTTGAGAAGTTAAAAGTGAGTTCAAGAGTAAAGTTTAAAGTACAACTTTTTAGTAGAATTTAAGGGAGCTAAATGATTCCCAAATGTATCATTTTCACATGGAGAAAAAAGAGCACTATTTTTCAGAAAAGTATAAGAATTCTTCACACTTTTTAAGATGGAGTTATTACAGAGCATTTACCTGTTAAAAAGATCCTTTTGAGAACTTATCTCAACCCAGAGGGAGTATTTTTACTTAAGCATTGAGTTATATATTTTGGGAGTAGTATTGAGCATCAATATGAAGAAGAGTTCAGACAACTTACATTTCCCAGGATCACATCGACTTTCGAGCGACTTCTCACTGCCTTTAACAAGGTTAACCTTATATTTTTTTCCTACATCATTGAATATATTCACCATAAATTTGCATTTTAATTTTAGCCTTATCCCTGTATAGTAAGTTTTTTCATGGCTCTTTTAGGGTTGGAAAATTTGATACATGTTCTAAAATCGAATTGAATAATACAAGAAGGTATGCTTATTTATAGTTTGATAGCTCATGTATAATACACATGTCGAGGGCTTCATTTTATTTTGAAAAGAAAAAATAGCTTCATCTTTAATTATTTCCATTCGTGCATATCGCTTTCTTTTATTTTTTCAAATAAGTATTGACATGGAGTGCTTCAAATATATTTTACGTCATATTGAGAAATTGGTATGTTGAAATGCATATATATATTCAAACTCATAACACACTATTAAGAGAAAACAAATACTAATAGATAAAATATTTTTGATAGAAATCATTCCAGAGTACATGTAGTACATACCATTATTGAAATAAAATAACAAAATCAAAGGAAACTAAAGCACATATAATAATATGAATTTAAATCTTCATTTTGTTGCATAGGACTTCGATAAAAGGTACTATCCGAAGATAATTCATTTATAAAACACTAGATTAGTTATCTTCATTTTCTAGTGTGGCCTGTACGGATGACGATGTTTCAATTTCTAGCTTCTTCAATTGATCGGTTAAGATACCCTCGATCGAATTTAATGTAGTTTCAAATGTGGTTATATTCTCTGCATTGATTTGGTCAACAGACTCCCACCAACATTTATCTCTAGTCTTGTCCATTTGTTCTAAAGAACGCATTTTTTCCTTTGCAACTGCTTCTCTTGCATCTAGTTCATTCAGCCTGATGTTGTTCTGAATTGCAATGTTCCTTGCATTTTCAGCAACGAGTCTCGTACCCAGATCTAATTCCATTGTGGGGTTCACAAATCGATCAATGACTACATCAGTAGTTGGGTGAACAAACGAATATTGGTTCTTACCACTTGGAGAAGATAAAACTATTCCAATATCGACGTTACAATCTCTTACGATCTTACTTGCCTTTGTATATAAGGTCGAACAACGTTTGGAAAATGCGACTTTCAGATCAGCTTCTTTTTTTATTTTTTCTAGTGGAATTTTTTGGCGTCCTTTTGTTTTCTTATCCGCCATACTAGCTAGAATGCTATTGATCAATTGTTTTCAAGCAATGTGAGTTAAAAATAAATAAAATATCATGAGTATTTATACACACATTAAAAATATATTCATTTAATTTCAAGTCAATATTGCTATGGAAAGTAATCCATTTAATTTCAAGTAAATATTACTATGGAAGGTAATCTATTCTGTATATTGAATTTATGGTAGAAAATTTATATTGAATTGATATTCAGAATCTGTGTTTTATGGTTACATAAATAAATCTGAAATTCAAATAAAAAAGGTAAGTTGTTGAGTATACTAAATAAAATTTATTAATTAATGATTAATCATTATGAATATAATTTAATGGACCCTTAATTATATACTAAAATATTTCAATTTTTTTATGTAACTAAATCTGATTTTTCACTTGGATGTAATTCACGCTTAGACTAAGTGGGTGTAAGGAAAGACTAAAATACCCCCTCCTTTGTTCAGGTGAAAAGGCCCTATCTAAAGAGGTTGCACTCAAATAGTCATATCACTCTCATACGAACTTGGATTTTAGCACTTTGAAATGGGGATTTTTAGAGAAGCTAAATTTGTGAACTGGATTATGACTTGTGTGTCTACTGTCTCTTATTCCTTGTTAATGAATGGTGGACTCACTGCCCCTTTTTCCAGCACAAAGGGGCATTAGACCAAGGGGACCCTATGTCCCCTTATCTCTTTGTCTTGGCTATGGAATACCTGGGAAGAGAGCTTAACCAACTGGCTCTAAATGGGAATTTCAACTATCATCCTAGATGTGAAAAGCTGAACAACATACACATTTGTTTTGTTGATGATCTGTTGATGTATTGCAGGGCTGATATTGTGTTTATCAAATTAATGTATGATGCCTTCATGAAGTTTTCCAAGGCATCTAGATTACAAGCTAATATTGATAAAAGTCCCATATATATTGCTGGAGTAAGTGATCAAACAAATCAAGACATTGTAGAAGCATTGGGGTTCAGTGTGGGTACTCTACCTTTTAGGTATCTTGGTGTACCTCTCTCTTCAAAGAAATTGACTGTTGCTGCTTAATTTCCCCCCATTGAGAAAATCACATCTAAAATTACTTGTTGGTCTGCCAAGTTATTGTCATATGCTGGTAGAATGCAACTTATAAAAGCAGTGATGTTTGGAGTTCAAGCTTATTGGGCTCAGATTTTCCTCATTTCTAAGAAGGTCATGAAGACAGTTGAGCACCTTTGCAAAACATTCTTATGGATAGGTGAAGTGACAGTGTCCAAGAAAGCTTTAGTGGCTTGGTCTAATGTGTGCCTGCCAGGGGATGCAAGTGGACTAAATATAGTGAATTATGCATTTGGAACTCAGCTGCAATTCTAAAGCTACTATGGGATATCAACAAGAAAAAGGACTGTCTTTGGGTTCAATGGATGCACAACTATTATATCAAGAAGGGTGATATTACCCAAGTCCAAATCCCTAAAACAGCTTCCTGGGTGGTGAGAAAGGTATTGGAATCTAGAAAACAATTTATCACTCGACTACAAAGCCATGGAACAATACATCAACAACTTGGAAATGTCCAGCAGAGAGGGAAATTTTCAATCCATAAAATGTATGTCAACTTATTGCACGTTTATCCCAAAGTGACTTGGAAACATCTTGTTCTGCGTCCAAATATACATCCTAGATACAAGTTTATCTTGTGGCTGGCAATACAGAAACGTTTGGCAACAGTTGAGAGATTGCAAAAGTTTGGTATTAATGTTCCCCCTGATTGTGCCTTCTGTGGGCAACACCTAGAAATATTCTCACATTTATTCTTTGAATGTGATGTGACTAGAAGGATATGGAGGAGGTTGCTACAATGGATGGGGTATAACAGACAATTACAAGACTGGGAAAATGAGGTGAAGTGGATGAGCCAAGTTGCTAGAAGACGAGGAGGTCAAGCTGAGATAACTAGTCGTCTGTTTGCAATGACTGTGCATAAGGTGTGGCAAACTAGAAATTTTATTCGATTCCAACAAAAACTTTTCCTCTTTGAAGTGATCATTAAGGATATAGTGATACACATACATATAAGAGGAAGAAATAGTATAGCATGGAGGGAGTGTTTGGAGAGAGTAACACTATCCTAGTTGAATTTCATAAGATTCTTGTTTTTCTTGTAAATGTTAGTGAATTAGCTGGTTGTATGTAGGAGCAGCTTGTCCAGGCTGCTGGAACTCAAATTGTACATGTTTTTAGTTATAAATGAAAGCTCTAATAAAAAAAAACTTGGATTTTAGCAAATTCGGTGGCGTTGGAAAGAGGACTCAAAGATCTCTGATTTGATACCTCATGGGCCACCTAACTTATTTTATGCTAAAATTTATGGTCATTTGAAGATGACCCCAAACTTAAAAGAACTTACAGATTACTTGAATGAATTTCTCTTCAATTCTTTTTGGAACTCGAGGTGCTACATCTTGCGACCTTGACACCTAAGAAAATTTAAATACCTCGATAAAATCCTACTCACAACTAAGGATAGTTCGAGTCTTAGCTCAAATTTTTTTGAGGTGTTACAGCTCGTCCTCACGCCCTACATATAAATTCAGTTAGTAAAAGATTAATCTAGGGTTATACCCTTTGTTTCGAGAATCCCTGAAATGAGTTATATTATAGATTTCGAGGTTCTAAATTCTTGAATATGAGTTTTTATATATTATGCATTGAGATCTTTTAGTTGTTCATGTTTATATTCCAACATGAACCTCATTTACTGTGTTTTCGTCGAGAATCTTTTGATCAAATATTTTTTCTTAAATTGATTTTGAGAAGTTAAAAGTGAGTTCAAGAGTAAAGTTTAAAGTATAACTTTTTAGTAGAGTTTAAGGAAGCTTAATGATTCCCAAATGTATCATTTTTACATGGAGAAAAAAGAGAACTATTTTCTAGAAAAGTAGAAGAGTTCTTCACAGTTTTTCAGACAAAGTTATTACAGAGCATTTACCTCTTAAAGAGGCCCTTATGAGAACTTATCTCAACCCAAAGGGAGTATTTTTTACTTGAGCATTGAGTTATATTTTTTGAGAGTAGTATTGAGCACCAATACGGGAAATAGTTCAGATAACTCACATTTCCCATAAACCACATAGCCAACGTGGCTTAGGATCATATTGACTTTCGGGTGATTCCTCATTGCCTTTGAGTATGGTTAACCTTCGGTTTTTTCTTACATCATTGGATATATTCATCATAAAGTTACATTTTTATTTTACCCTTCTCCCTGCATAGTAAGTTTTTTCATGGCTCTTTTAGGGTTTGGAAATTTGATACATGTTCTAAAATCGAATTGAATGACACAAGAAGGTACCTTTATTTTGTAGTTGGATAGCTCATGTATAATACACATGTCGAGGGCTTCATTTTATTTTGAAAAGAAAAAATAGCTTCATCTTTAATTGTTTCCATTCGTGCATATCTCTTTATTTTATTTTTTTCAAATAAATATTGACATGGAGTGCTTCAAATATATTTTACGTCATATTGAGAAATCGGTACGTTGGAGTGCATATATTCAAACTCATAACACAATATTAAGAGAAAAAAAAATACTTAATAGATAAAATATTTTTAATAGAAATCATTCCAAAGTACATGTAGTACGTACCATTATTGAGATAAAATAACAAAATCAAAGGAAACTAAAGCACACATAATAATATGAATTCAAATCTTCATTTTGTTGCATAGGACTTTGATAAAAGATACTATCCGAAGATGATTCATTTATAAAACACTAGATTATTAGTTATCTGCATTTTCTAGTAGGGCTGGAAATAATTAAAAATTTATTCACTATAGTAATTTAATTTCAAGTCAATATGGCTATGGAAAGTAATCCATTCTTTATATTGAATTTATGGTAGAAAATTTATGTTGAATTGATATTCGGAATCTGTGTTTTATGGTAACATAAATAAATCTGAAATTCAAATAAAAAAAGGTAAGTTATTCAATATACTAAATAAAGTTTATTGATTAATGATTAATCATTATGAATATAATTTAATGGACCATTAATTATATACCAAAACATTTCATTTCTTTTATGTAACTAAGTCAAATTTTTCACTTTCTCAAACAAAAAATATATCTATCATTTATGAAAAGAAAAATGTGATTAATACACATTACTATAATATAGAATAGGCTAGGAAAGTAGGTCATGGTCAACATGCCTGCTTCCCCAGGGATATTTAGGGAAGTCGGTCATGGTCAACATGCCTACTTCTCCGGATATTTAGGGAAGCAGGTCATGGTCAACATGCCTACTTCCCCAGGGATATTTATGGTATTTTCAACTTTTTATGCTTAAAAAGATGGTACTTCAGAGCTTCTTAGGTGTACCTTCTTTTTGTTGGACATGAAAAATCATTTTTTTAGGCATAATACATAAACATGATCCTTAACTTGGTTGCAACAGATAACTATGCCATCCAAGTAGACACTTAAACTTGTATAAAATTGAACAAGTAGGCACACGTGTCCTACATGACATAATATATGTAGGACGCCACGTAGGATACAAAATTTTCATCTAGGGTGCCATGTAGGACGAATGTGTCTATTTGTTCAATTTTATACAAGTTCAAGTGTCTACTTGTGCACATCCAAAATTAAAGATCATAGTTGCCCATTGACATCAAGTTAAGGAGCATGTTTATGTATTATGTCTTTTTTTATCCACTTTTGTATGTATGTGGCCCAAGCATTTGTTCTTGGCTTTAATGCATGTGGATCCCATCATTACTTTGATATACCATTTCATTTTTCCTTGCCTTCTGGTCTAACTGAAAATTAAAACTCCAATAAACTATAACTCAAGCATTAACCAATACAAAATATTAACAACCCACATAATTTGCATAAGTCACTCCAAATTAATTTATTCTTTTTGTAAATTTAAATTTGAAAAATCATTTTTCCCATTAATTGGAGTCTCACCCTTCTCTTAAGCCAGTGGATATGTTCGGAAATGATACCTTTTTGTTACATGAAAGTAAATAAATTATAATTATGTTTAGCTCTTAATAATTATATATCGAATATAATATTTGGTGGAAATCAATCAAAATTAAAATTAAATTTATATATATATTTAAATTTTGTGGTCTATCAATTTAAATTATATCAAAATATTTTTTAATTTTGTAAACTTAAATATGATATATAAAAAAAATTAAATTTTAGAAGTTATTTCTTTTTAAAATGAAATAAAAAAATAAGTTCATATAAATCAAAACGGAGGGAGTCATACATTAAAAATGAAATATATATGTGGTATTATTAGAAAGAGCTTTCATATATATATATAAAATTTCTTTTGTCTTCCTTATATTAATTTGTGCATATATGTGGAGTTTTAAAGATTTGAACATTTTAATATAGAAATATTATATATATATAAAATTTCTTTTGTCTTCCTTATATTAATTTGTGCATATATGTGGAGTTTTAAAGATTTGAACATTTTAATATAGAAATATAGTGACTTGAAAACTTTAGTACTTTCTCCGTTTTAATTTTTAATTTGTTTTATATTTGAAAATTACATAAAAAGGAAGCTTAAAATCACAATGTAACAATTTGAGATATTTTTAAAAAAACATAATTAAAAACCATAATGAAATTTGGTTGACTCCCTTATTTTATATCAAATAGTGTTTGAAAATAACGTAAAAAGTACTATAAATCATAGTAAAATGACAACTCAAAATATGTGAGGTCAATTCTTTAGTGTTAAGGTCAATTCTTTAGTGTGAGAATAAATTTGAAGATGAATTAAGGTCTCAAGAAACCCCTAGCACAAAGTTTAGTTGAAAGCTTCCTTATCGATTAAGTTTTCAATAAGATTATACTTAGGTCAACTTCAAACAATCATATCTCTCAGAATATAATGAATTAGATGGCTAATAACCTATCAAATTAAAGGGCTTTGGGTCCTCTTTCTAAAGATACCAAATTTTCCTTCTTTAGAGTTTGGAGTAAAAAGTTATGACCATTTTACCAGAAACGATCGCAGTAGAGTTTCCTGAGTCAGTTCCTACGAAACCTTTCTATAGGCCGTCAAAATTCTGACGCCCGTACTAGAAGTCAGATTTTGGTGTCCAAATCCTACGGATTCATTCTATGGGTTGTAGGAACTTCTACGCGTCGTAGATTGGACCCGTAGAATGAGATTTTGAGCCATTAAATTCAATATAAATTCCATTGATGGGATCTACGGTCTGTTGATCAAACCAAGAACTGTAGGTGGACCCATAGAAGGTTTTCGCTAATTTTTAAGAGGGGTAGTTTAGTTTTTTCCCACCCCTTCTAAGACTAAACCATAACATTTTTACACCTAGTTAAGGTTTTAAACAATGTTAATCAATCATTTTACTTTCATTTACGCTTCCAAGTTTTAGAGCAAGGATCCAAGAGGAGAAAGTTAGAGTTCCGTGCATTCTTCAAGTTTTCACCGATTCCGCCAAGAACTTTGTTCTCCAAGTATGTAAGGCTGCCATAGTAATTGTCACGACCCAGGGGTACCCCCTAGATACAACATGGTGTACTTGACCCCGAAGGGGTCTCATACAATTCCTTAGCATACATAAACATAAGAAAATAGAAATGATTCAGAATTTAAAATTTTACAATCGAAGTCTCTTTTTATAAAGTCAAAAGAAATCTAGACATTATCTCATAACTATCTACTACAATAGAATGTCAATAGGGTCACAACCCTTTACAATCAAAAAGTCTCAAAAGTAGTGTAACGACCCTAAAAATGAATAAGGGAAACTAGAGCCTATCTTGTGTGTGTTTGAGTTTGGAGTGAGGTTTGAGGTGGTTTGATGTTGTCCCGAGCCATGGTTGAGGGGTTTAGGGGTTAAACGTCAAGGTACGACTCCCCATGGACCACCCTAGGGATCCTTGAGGAGGACCCTAAGCCTAACCCCCAAGACCCCTTGAAACAAAAATATTGCCAAGAACTTGGTGACCTGCGGAAGGGGACCACGCCCCGTAGGTCCATTCACGCCCCGTGAATGGCCTCCGTAGGTCATGGCACCCAAATGCAAGCCACAGTCCAGATGACGGAGGGACAGTAGGGTCCGTGATCCCATCCATGGACCGTGGATGGGGGTTTCGTGAACCATGCCTGCAATCTGGTTTTTTTCTCGGTCATTGTGGGGGTGAATTGGTAAATTCACCCTAACTCCTAATAAG